CCCCCCCCCCCCCATGTGACCCAATGAGATGCCGCCTGAGGCTGCCTCATTATAAGGGCAGCCCTGACTATTGGGGTATTCAGCCCCAGCTGCTTGAATACAATAGCCAGCAGTAAGGATTCCGCCATTCATGCTGTTTAGCGTGAGTGTGGGAATTTATTTCTCTTGTTTAGCCCATGGGGTGATGTATGGCTAGCCTGAGGGGCCAACAAAAAGCTGCTTAACGTAGTATTAAACCCTCAAACCTTTTTTCAATAATGAATCCAGATCAAACAAATATACATGGCCCAGCAAAGTATTTCTATACATTTTTGCCCAAGCACTTACAGCGAACATGTTTCCCAACCGATCCAAATCTCTCAGCTCGGCTTCCCTGAACTTCCTATCCAGCACAAGATCACAAAGGGACAGAGCAGTCTCCAGCAGCTCTCCATCTACTAGATTGGATAAGGGAGGAAGGAGTGTAATGGATTGCTCTGCTGTGTCTGTGTGCTTGTGGAGACACACACAGCTTACTAGCGCACACAATGGTGGCTCCATAGGACTCTGCAAGGAAAAGGAGTCACCCTAAGGCCTTGTTCACACCAAATGCAGACCAGATCCGGTCAGGTTTCTGCACACGCAGTGTAGTGGGTTGTGCCGCGTTTTAGACGCGTTTTGGATGCGTTTAGGGCCGGTTTTGTTTTTTAAGTTTAACATGGGCTTTCAGGCACTTGCATGCGTTTTTGATGCGTTTTTGTGTTTTAGATGCATTTTTGATGCGTTCCAGACCAGATCCAGAGCAGGTAAAATAGGGCTTGCCGCATTTTTTTCATCCGGTCTGGATCTGGTCTGGATCCGCACGCTGCGATGTGAACTGGAGGTCAAAATACCATAGGAATACATTGGACGCAGTTTTGATCCGGTCTGCACCTGCTCTGGTCCGGATCTGCTCCGCGCTTGGTGTGAACAAGCCCTAAAGCAGGATATCAGGACCAGTGCTCAGGAGACCAGCTGATTCTGCAGGAAGCTAAAACTTTTAAACACTTGTGTTCACATAATAACTTTTAAAGTTGATATATGAAGATTACTTGAAGCTTCCTATATCAGTGGATGTACAGATGGCTTTGGCATGTAGTTTTCACTGAAAGTAACCTCTGCTCGTACATTTTTTCATTATATACTGTAGTCTGAATTGTCCACAATCTCTGACAAGTTTACTTGGAGCATCTTTTAACTTTATACAGTGTATTCTATAGTACCTCCATATCCTTCGTGACACAGAACCAGGATCATGGCAATAGCAGCTGCCCACAAAGTCCTATGGCTGCCTTGGTAAATGGCAGCCAGGATGGAGTATGACGTAGGAGTATCGTCCAGAAGGAAAGCGAGACAGATCACCAGAAGCACGATGAGCAAAGCAGATAACCATCCTGCAACCGCCTGAGCCTGCACAGAGACAGAAATCCTTCAGATTACAGAAAGTAAAAAAAAAAAAACAAAAAACACAGATGGCTCAACAAATATACTCGATGTACTCCTCATACTGAACCCAGTTACAGTACTCGTCAGACTACGGCAAACTCATAGTGAATCATTCATCGTCCACAGGACTGATAGAGCACTAAACAGATTCATATGCGTTTCAGCATTGTACAAAACTCTAAACATATAACCCTTTAGGTTCTGTGGGTACTGCGGGTGCAAGATTGCACCTTACTCGACTCCATCTAGACAGGCCTGGAACAGCAGACTGAGGCGCCTGTGGAAGGACTACATGACAGGGGTTTGGGAAAACAAAAAGGGGTCCTGCTAGGGTTAATTTGTTCCTAGCAACAGGGAGGTTATGATGGGACACTTACCTAATTGGTCAGAGGTGCAGACAGGAGAAGTGTAGGTGGATCCCTGGGGAAAGAAGTTTCCAGATCCAGACGGAGTCAGCAGAGTGGAAATAGCGTCCCACCCTACCGCCCTAATTTTCTTTTTGTGTGTGGTATTTCCTTTTGTTTGATATTTGCATTGTCCGATTGCATTTTGTTTTGATGTATTGTTCATGTCACTGCAGCCGGGCAGGGTATTGGGGTCCTGGAGGAGCAATCTATGCAGTTGCTGTTTAATAAAGAGCGGGGAGTGTCTGCTTATACTGCTAAGTCCCCGAGGCGGTGTGGTGCGGCTGGGGGCCATGGAGGCAGACACTGGTTGGTTTGTTGTGGGATGGCCTTCAAGGACCTCAGTTCCCGTTGTCAGTTATTTTTGGAAAGATTGGTTAAATGGTTTTATACTTAATAAATTGGCTGCTGTGGCCACTACAATCCAATACCAGCGTTGTGTCAATGTATTAGAAGGGGGATTGGTATAGAAGTCTTATGCTGTTTCGTTAATTGACCCTTACAAAAAGGTAGACAATACCCTTGTCAGGCTTTGCGTTTTATCATCCTATGCCTGCATTAACTTTTGCTTCAAGATTCACCAACTTCTACCTGCATGAACTTTTCAACTATTCGAAAGGAAGGCCAAACTTTCTACATTCCAGTAAGGTGTCCATGGGGATGGGCTTTGGGTGAGGAGACGACCTTAGGGTATGGTGGAGGTGTGGAATACGTATTGTCATTCTTGTCTCTGCGGCTGTTCATCGAGTACTTTGCCCAAGACAATGCTGCCCTAGCCTTTGTCCAAACAAGGGTCACTTTTCTTTTGCTTTAAGAATTCCTAGTGTCCAGATAATGATGGCACATAAATCTTGTACTGATAATTAATCCTAAATCTAAACTGCAAACAAGTCACAAATACCTTCATGTTGCCTGGGGACAGTCAACGTCCCTTGTATGCTGTTAAACTATAAATTGTGAGTGTAAGAACAATGTGGCAGAGTACTCTTGTACCCAGTGGCATAAGAATCGCCATAGCGACCCAGGCGGCCGGTATGGGGCCCGGGCACAGGGGGGTCGCCTGGGTCGCTATGGCATGTAAGGGTGCTGGCTGTCACTGAGACAGCTCAGCAGCGGCGTTTCCCCTCATAGCAGCTTGAGCTGTGTCAGTGACAGCCAGCAGCTATGGCAGAAGAGGCCAGCGTTCGCAGTAAAGTAGGAGGCGGGGCCCGCCTAAGAGCAACCCCGCCTCCTCTTACATCACTGGCCAGCGACCTAAGAGCACGTGGGGCCAGTGATGTAAGAGGAGGTGGGGCCCGTCGATAGAAGAGGAGGCGGGGCCCCGGCAACCACGGAGGCGGACAGCGTTGACAGGTAAGAGGTGTGCAGCCCATCTGAAACCCTGCAGAGCCCACTATAGAGAGTCTATGGTGGGCTCAGCAGGGTCACTCTCAAGTGGGCTGTTTGGTATATCCGGTGGGCTCTGCAAGTGGCATAACTAGCATTCACAGGGCCCCCATACAAAATGTTGCTATGGGGCCCTGTGATTTCTATTTACGCCCCTGCTTGGACCTCTCCAATATTGACAATAGTGCTGTATGGTCAAGAAATTCACCTATTCATAAAAGAACTCAAAAACTCGTCCTGGGTTGACAACAACAGTTCTATTACCAGATAAATTGTGTTCCAGGGTAAAAGGACCAGCAGTGAACTTGCTGATGCACACTTCTGGAGTTCCATTTTTTAAAAGTAATTAAATGCACTAAGTCACTATAGCGCCCCTAGATGGCGCTGATGAGTATGGAAATTTGCTATACTCGTCAGTACCATCTAAGGGTGCTAGTACATGCAAACGGCATCCATGTGGCTATATGCTAGGTGGAACTTTTAGGGCCCAATCATACCTGATGCAGTCCGTTCCATTTTTGAGCTGCATCAAAAACGCATCACAATGCTTTCCTATGGGATTCTGGTGTTCTGTTCACACCAGACTAGTCCGTTCTGTCGCAGCCAGAAAAAGTACTGCTTGCACTAATTTAGCTGCATCAGATTGCGACGTAACGCATCACAAACGCATGCAAACGGAACGCATCTGATATCCATTTTAAGTCCAAAAGAAAAAACCCGAAAAAAAACCGCATTAATCGCGGTAAAACCGCTGCAAAATTGCGGTAAATATGCTGTAAAATGGCGGTAAAACGCATCGTTTGGGTGTGAACTAAGCCTTATAAATGAACCCCTAAGGTTTTAACAGGGCGCAGGACTGTATCACACCCAAGCTGAACTTTGGTAAACCAGCTAAATACACAGCTGAGTAAATGGAAGTTGTTTTACCTGCTAAAGGATTTGTTTATCTCACACAGCAAGAAAACACTTTTGATCAGACACTGACTCAGAAGTGTATTTATGCACTCCCGATGAGGCCAGGTGTGCCCACGCTGCAGTTCTGTCATAGACCAACAGGTGGCAGAGGCTGTAGACTAATATAAAGTATATATAATATATATATCGGTCTCGGAGCATGGAGCCGGCTTCCCGGCCAATCAGGAAGCCAGGCAGCGTGTAATGACTCGCCGCCCAGTTTCCTGATTGGTCGGGAAGATGGCCAATGAGGAAGCCGGATGGCGAGTCATTACTCGCCCCCGGCTTCGTGATTGGCCAGAAAGCCGGCTTCATGTTCCCTTGCCACCTGGTGAGGAGGGAGTATGGAGCAGGCTTCCGGCCAATCAGGAAGACGGGCGCAGAGTAATGACTCGCCGCCTTGCTTCCTGATTCCCTACTTCCCTAATCGGGAAGCCGGGTAGTGAGTCATTACATGCCGCCTGGCTTCCTTAATGGGACTTCCGGTACTCGGTATTGGCGAAAAACCGGTATCGGTGCATCCCTAATATATATATGTATCATGACAGGTGAATGGCAGCAGTACAACAATTAGAACAGTCAATAACAATCCTTATCACAATGACCTGTATTTCCAGATATCTTGGTTAAGAGACCTTGCCACCTGAATTTTATAGTCACAAGCACTTACCTTGCTTCTAATGTACTGCTTCTTGGCAATCATAAGGCCAGTCACTACACCAACCAAAAACGGGCCATATCGACAGTAAGGTTTGGTGTAATATTCCACCCAGTAATTCATACGGGACTGACTGTAGAAAATAGGTTTTTCGCATTACATATAGATAACAGCTGATCTGTAGGCACATAGCTAAATACACAGATGTCAATGGAGCTGTAACTCTGTCCAGACAGTTTTGTGATTCATACATCCTCATCAGATAGCACAGAACTTTTCCTGTTACAGTTTAGAAACACAGTGGCATCACCTCCCCACCTGCATCCTGCTGATTATATTACAAAGGAGAAGTAACATACTAATAGGTCATCTCTTTGCTCCTCCTGTCAGCACATGTCCAGGCAGCAGAGTTGCTGATTGGCCCCTAGAGCTGCCCCTCCCTCGCCCAGTCTGAGTGCTGCTGTGCAGGGGATGGCAGAGGCTGACATCAAGGCAGATTTAGTCACTTATGTTAGATGTAAAAATGAACATTTTGAAAGGAATGCACAATGGCGTTTTTACTTTGCGTATTAGAACTCCTTTAAGATACCCTACCAAACATGCTAAGATGGAAGGATGGGACCCGATGGCAATGGCTGCCAATCCAAGGGTGCTCAGGCAACCACTGAAGCAGATATAAGGCAGAAACAGCCTTTGGTCCCTTCCTCCCAGAAGACTTTGAGAGTCTCCATCTTGGAGCACATGTGGCAAAAGATTAAATCGGGTGCAGGTTTGTCAGGAGGAAGCCCAACCTCCTTAAAAGGCACAGGGACACACAAGAGACCCCGCACATCACAACGGCAGCTGAGACCCCACATGCATCACTGCACCAAATCAGTCAAGCAAAACAAATGGCAAACGCACTCATCAATTCGTCACCATCTTTACAGCAAGGTGCACATGGAAGGGCTTTATACAGTACAACCGCAAAAAGTTTCCCAGCACACTCACCAGCCGCACTATATAGAGGTGCGTTGGCAAGGTGGTGCGGCTTTCACATTTTCTGCAGAAGACGTGTATCTAAACCTCCATTTTTAACCTTAGCGGTGAGACAAGTTTTTTTTGCATGCTGACTGGTGAGTGTGCTGGGAAACTTTTTGCTGTTCCACCTCTACTTCTGAGTCCCTTGTTATGCTTCTGGCCTCCATAGCATTTGCACGGTCTTCTATGGCTAACCCTTGAGTAGGTTTAAGAGGAATCCCCACAATTACGCATATGAAAGCCACCTTACTAAGGCTATATTCACACCTTTACCTGTTATTCATCACAACAGAATTCACATTTTGCTGGAAACCACATTAAGGCCCCTTTCACACGTGCTGATCAGGAGAGGATCCATGCACGGATCGTTTACTGATCAGAGCAGTATGGAGCAGATGTCACCGCTGTGACATTCGTGTCTGTACAGTTTTTTCCTCCATCTTGCGATGGAGGAAAAAAACTGCAATTACCGGACCCCATGTCGGTCTAAGGGATTGGATGTAAAAGGGCATGTGTCCATTTACATCAGATTACCCCTGATCTGGTCCGGCAAAACGGATCTCTGATCTGTTTGTTTTTACAGACATGTCCGGAGTTGGGGGTAACCACATGGAAACGGATAACCATCCGTTTACACACGGCTGCCCATAGACTTACATTGGCCTTCCAATTGGGTCCGCTTGGAAAACTGACTGGGTGGTCCCATGCGAATGGGGCCTTAGGATGCAGAGGAGTGATTGTGGCTTCCAATCCAAATGTTTGAAGTTCCCAACAACATTAGGGGGGATCCAGAGAAGTTGCAGCCCCCCTGTGCGTGGACGAGCGGCAGAGGATCGCTACGTGTCACTAGTATGTACCAATCCTCTGTGTAGGACAAACCATTGAAAAGTAGATCTCCAGACGAAAAATAGTGGGCGCCCCTGTTCTATTACTTTCCAAAGAGCCAAAAATGGCAAGTTTAATATTTACCTTTCACCTCTCGGATAACGGATTGGAAGTTTTAAAAGAAAAGACATCACGGTGGTGGTAACAGTAGATGCGATAAACATCAGCGCCACTCCAGCAAACATAATATATTTCACTCTGAAAAACACAAGAACAGATTTTATCAGACAGAATAACTGCTCTTCCTCTCCGTCTTAATGTTCAAAGACGAGCTCCCAAAAATGGCTTTCGGAGGACTGCACCAGGTGTGATAATGTGCTCGCGTCTCTGACTATTCAACTGATAAAGATGAACTCTGGGCACATGAGACACAAATGAATGCAGCTCTGTATTCATTAATACATACAGTGGCGTAACTATCGTCATAGCAACCCAGGCGGCAGCTATGGGGCCCGGAGCACAGGGGGGCCTGGCCAGGACATCACCCTGATGCCGTGCGGGCCACCTGGGTCGCTATGGCATGTCAGGCTGCTGGCTGTCACTGGCGGGTGTGAGGAGGAATGTGTCGCTGTTAGATCATTGACAACCAACCTGTCAGTGATCTTTGCAGCAGCACATTCATCCTCACAGCCGCTGCTATGTCAGTGACAGCCAGCAGCTGTGGCAGAGGATGCTGGGCCGGGCTTCGCAGCGGAGGAGGCGGGTCACTCTCAAGTAAAACTCACAGTGCCCCATACAAAATTTTGATATGGGGCCCTGTGATTTCTAGCTACGCCCCTGAATACATACAGGTACATCTCTATAGGTTGAAATCAATGGACATGTGTCTTTATTCAACCTTAATAATTCTGTAACAATAGAAAATTGTTTAAGCTCAGCTATACCTGGAAAAGAAGAGAGAACATACTCACCTTTCCTGTTGCCCGTTCCATTGAACTCCAATGAGGAGAAATCTTCTACTGAGTCCAAAGCCCAAAGGTAAACAGACCACTGAGTATGTACTATCTTCTTTTACTGGTATGGCTGGATTTAACATTTTCAGCAGATACCGAGTCACTTTAAAAGTGCTGTTTTTTTTTAAATGCAAGTAATGTAAGCACTTGAATTTGACCTGGTATCAGCCTCTTGCAACCCCTTGTGGGGAACCCCAGGAGTACACATGCGTCTTCAACACAGTCCGATATAAATAAACATTTTTTATTTCATCCAGCGGTAACAGAACAAACAGCTTTCTTCAGCAAAACGGTAAAGTAAAAGGCTTTCCTCAGCAAACATAAAGATAAAGTCCTTCAATAAGATTGCACTACGTAGTGCGTTTAGGTGATCTCACCAAGATAGAGTCCACTTGCTTCTAAGCAGCCACACACACCCAGACCTTTCTGTCTGTCTCTCAGCTTCCCCACTCCTCTCTCCTGTGTTACCTTTTAACAGGAAGGGCTGTGGGTGAAGTATCTGCCCTCCCAAGTTAACCCCTTCTTCGCTCTCAGCCCTGCTGACTCTCCACACCCTGTACAGCAGAGCTCAGATTGAGAAAGGGAGAAGCAGCACTAGCTGCCAAATCAGTTGTGCTGCAGTACTGCAGTACAAGGAGCATTTCTTTTTGTCAATAGATCGCATAGAAAATAAAATGATTTTTGCAAGACATGATCACCA